CTGTTCAGCAGGCTGATGTCCAGCTGGCAGAAGTGGGTGGCATTGTACAGGGCAGAGATCAGCATCCTCCACACCCCGGCCAGGAGGCCCAGCAGGACGTTGATGGGGAAGAGCAAGTAGGTGACTATGTAGAGAGCCCTCCTGAGGGTGGAGGAGGAGGAGTGAGGAACCCCAAGGCCACGGGGACAGGAAGGACAACCTGGCAAAGCAAGCCTCCCACCCTTCCCTGCCTCCCTCCTCAGCCCTGAGGTGTCTCCAGCCCATGGGGAGAAGCAACCACCCTGCCAGGCTCTCAGAGAGCCCTGTGGGACCTCAGGGCTTGGCCTCCATTGCTCCTTGAAAGCTTGAGCAGCAGCCAAGGCAGAAGTCTGGGGGCTGGAGATGGGGGAGCCGTGGAGGAGCAGTTCCCATGGAGGTCAGGAGAGCCTGGGGCAACCTCCCTGCAAGGCTGGGCGAGGGATGGAGGTGCTGCAAGTGCCCTGGTTGGACAGAGCAAGGACACTCAAGCTCCATCTGCTACCCTGGTGCTCAGGCTGAGGAGGCAGCTCAGGCAGTGACACCGTGGAGGAATGAGGGGCCACAACCTCTGGCAGCATCTGAGGGGTCCAGCCCATCCTGAGGGACCTGGGCTCCCTCCCAGGCTCACAAGGAGGGGTGGTGGGGCAGGGTACCCATCTCACTAGCTTCTACCCCACTGATACCAGGGCTGTAAATGGGCTTCTAAAGCATCTAAGGAGACCTCTCTGGGGGCATGGAGCCACCTGACACCCTCAAACCCACAGGGCTTCCCCCTGGAGCTCATGAAGCAGAGCAGGGGCAGGTGCAAACCCAACACCCCTGGCTCCTGGACCTCAGGAGGGGTCAGCTCTGCCCCAAAGCCCCCCCATGGCCCCCTAACCTGTTGGTGAGCTCCTTCTGGAGAGCATGCTGCTCCAGGAACTGGTAGTGAGCTGCCACGTTCTGCACAAGGACAGCAACCACCAGGGTCAACCAGAAGGGCCTGGGTGGAAGAGAAGAGGCAGGTTGGGGGTGTCTCAAGTATGACACCCCATCCCAGGCAGCAGGGACCTCCAGAGAAGCTGGCAGAGCCCAAGGGGTCTTCAGGCCCCCCCTGAGGGCTGTGGGTGCTCACCACATGTTCTGGAGGACTTTGAAGAGGTAGGTGTTGGTGCCAGCCTGGAGAGGGATGACGATGAGGAAGGTGAAGGCCACCGAGCAGATGAAGAAAATCACTTGCTGGATGAGGAGACCTGGGATGGAGACAAGGGAGGGAAGCAGGGCCAGGGTGCTCGAGAGGTTCTTGGGTCTCCCTCCCCAGACCTGTGCTCGTTGCTGAGGACACGTTTTGTTTCAGTGCCATGAAAAGCCTCCCAAGCTCCTTCCCTGCCTGCCCTGCTCCACACCCCAGGCTCTGGGTGGGATGTCATGGCCAGATCAGCCTCTCTTATCTCTCCCCACACGATCCCTGCCCAGAAGAGGGCCAGGGTGCTCGAGAGGTTCTTGGGTCTCCCTCCCCAGACCTGTGCTCGTTGCTGAGGACACGTTTTGTTTCAGTGCCATGAAAAGCCTCCCAAGCTCCTTCCCTGCCTGCCCTGCTCCACACCCCAGGCTCTGGGTGGGATGTCATGGCCAGATCAGCCTCTCTTATCTCTCCCCACACGATCCCTGCCCAGAAGAGGCAGCACTCAGGGCTGGGACTGGGATGTCTCAGCAGCAAAGAAATCAGCCTGAGCTCTGCTTCCATAAATCACCCCCGGAGCAGCAGCAGCAGCTGCAGTTCCTGGTGTTCCACCTCTCCTGCTCAGCTTGAACCACCTGCCACCCAAGGGTTTGAAAGCAGGGGGAGATGCTGGGAAGAACATCAGGGTGCAGCTGGTTCCTCCAGGGGTGCAGGGAGCACTGGGTGGCAGAAGCTGCTCCTTGCTGGCAAAGGGCTGCAAGCAGCTGGGCTCCCCAGCTCCTCCACACTCACCTCTGTGACCTGCCAGGTCCCCTTTCCCAAGGACAGGTCACCACCAGACCTGGTGGGTCTCTCCTGTCCCTCATCACCCCCTGGGCCTTCATCTTGCCCCTCTTGGGCAGCCTTGGGGTGCTGACAGGGGGGGGTGCTGGGGATGCATCACCACAGCCACTACCCAGAGTCACCTCCCACGGGGATGAGAGGCCTTCAAGTGTCTCCAGACCACGGTGGGATGAGGATTTGGAGGGTTTCCACCCCCTTGGATGTCCTCCAGCCAGCCAGGGGGTGGCCAGACACCCTGGGGAAGATGCCCAGTGAGGCAGGAGCACCCAGGGCTGGAGGAGGCAACCAGTCCTTTGCACCAGCTGCTGGGAGAGCTTCTGCCAATCCAAAGAGTTGGGTTGGAGCCAAAAAAAGACTCATCTGCCCCCGCCCAGACACACACACTGTTTATCCTCCCCCCAGAAGCTCCTGGGATGGAGTTCTTGGGATGGAGCCCTTGGGATAGAGCTCCTGGGATGGAGCCCTTGGGATGGAGCTCTTGGGATGGAGCTCTTGGGATGGAGCT